CATTTCCCAGGCTAGATATCTATCAACATATATTTTATCATTTTACACTTTATGTTTGATCTTAGTGGCCGTGCCTGGGCATTGCACCCAGCCGGCAAAGTTTCTACATTTAAGCAGGTCAAATCCCAAGTTTGTTGAAACAAGGATAGTCATATATTCGTACAAAACCCAAACATTATCAACATCTTGGCGTCTATCCCCTTCACTAGGCAGTCTCGGGCCTCGCGTACGGCCACTGCTCTAGCCATTATTATATCACTTAACATCTTTTATTCCTATATTTTAAATATGACATCCGAAGAGCCTCTTCCCGGAGGTGACATGGGCGCAGCCCGCCAGCCGCCCCTTCAAACCCCACGACATCTCTTTCCCTCCCGGAGGTGGCATGGGCTCTTCCCGTCAGCCGCCCCCTCAAACCCCACCACAAAAAAATTGCAAGCTAGGATAGGGCAAAAAAGTGATCGTATCGCATTACCAATAGAAAGAGGTCGCGCCGGGAATCGAACCCGGATTGCGAGATTCAAAGTCTCGAGTGATAACCATTACACCACGCAACCCAGTCAGTGCTCGTAAAAATCTTACCAATATATAAAGGTAAAAGTCTCTTGCTATCTGTCTGCGCACATGATTTAGTGAGCTTTTTTGTCTCCTCTTCCCTCATCCCGCCCTCTGCCTGGAACAGTGCCCTTTTCCAACGCTAATTTGGCTGGTCAGTCGCCACGCGCTCACCAACCTGCATTCCCTTTCGGTGAGCGCAGCCGTTCGCAAGGCACACCCCCTCCGCCAGGCTTGCGTTCCAAATCCAAGCTAGAAAGCCAAAGCCTGGTAGATTCTCGCTGGATTCTTGGCGGCAACACACAGCTTGTACCAGATCAATCTAGCACGCAATCATAAGAGCATGTGGTAGCGCGTAGGTGCCATTATGTGGGTTCCACCCTTGACACCCTCTAGGTTTGCTGTTGAAAACAGACTTGCCTCGAACGAGTAATCAAAATCGGGCTTCAAAGAGAAATCCTCTGATCTCATGTTACCCTCTTCTTTGAACGCTGATGGCGCGCTATGCACCATCATAAGGCGGCGGCGGTTTTTGTTAATAGGTGTTACACCGCGCCTTAGTCCTGACACTATCCGTGACCTCCCTCGCTATAAATGTAATGTCACTGCCCGACCTAAGGGGCGCGTGATGCTTCGAATTTCCCTGTAGCTTTGCGCAATTGCGTTCATTGCCCCGATCTATGCCACAATTCTTCCAAGTTGACCCCTAAATATAATATGCATGTGTTGGTGGGAAAGAAGGTTGAAGCGACCCTGCTTATTGGCTGCGTGCTACTACTGTCGCTATGCAGTACTAGAGGAACCCCGCTGGAACCCATCCCACGTGTAGGAGACCAAAATCCGAACATGCTGATGTTTGTCTCGTCAAACTGGGGCGCATTTGAGCAAGAGATGGAGTCTGAGTTAAGGAACTTGAGGACTGCCACCCCATCCGCCTACTCCCGCGCCACAGAGGTGCTCGGCAACACTGAAGTCCCTAGTCAGTACGACCAAAGATTCGCGCAAGACGCTCTTGGAGTACTGGCAAATTTCCGCCTACTGGTGTGGCAAAAGGTGATTCCGAACGCTTCTGCTCTCAGCCCGACTGGCAGCAGCAG